CACAAAGACACACTTCCGCCCTCAGGTGTACAGACAGAAAACTGCACAAAGTCTACTCTAGACCACAGTAATCTACTGTAGAGTACTGACACTGGATTTGCAGCAGTTTCTAACCATGGAAGTGGACATACAAAACGAGCTTAAATAAGTTACAATTATTTCTGCATTTTTGTAACTTTGGTGTGAAATGACTCTTCCCAAAGCCTGACAGGGTAATGGCTTTCCTGGCTATTTCTGAGAAGGGTGAAGTTGGCCAAGTCTGAGAAAACTTGCAGCTGGAGGGAGGTTGAATGTATCTGTTTATCTTTTCTGCATTTGTATTACTTTAACGAACTAACCCCAGTGCTATTTTTTTAAAAAAAAAAACCATAACAAACAAACAAAAGAAAAGCGAATACATTTTTTACACTTTAGCTTGTTTAACAGTTAGCAAAACAGCCTTAGGTTAGAAAACACACAAAAAACAAACAAATAAAAAAAAGTAGGATTAACAAAACAGTACGACATCGAGAATTGAAACTAGGTTAAAGAATGAAATAAAAGGCACTGTTCATAAAGAGTTGGTTTGACCAAAACTACCTTTAAAAGGTACTCCCATAAGGGGTGGCTTGTATTCTATTCTAATCTAATTTCTATTCTATTCTAATTCTAATAGAAGTATTCTATTACTTTCTAAGTCTTAACATTGTGGTGTGATGGTGTGACATTAAATCCCAGCTATTTTTATTTGGTTGCCTAACAAGTGCTCCATTCTTCTGTGTACACCTCTGCATACTCTATATTTGCAGACAAACTATAGAAAAACAAGTTTGCAAAAGCAGTTTATGTAAAGTTAACACAATAATCAGTCATTTTACTGACCTGTCACTTAACCTCATTAGTTGTAAAATGTTCCTCCAGATATTCCTCTTTAGTACCACTTGCTTTTTCAGCCTTTCCTTGCCCTTGTTCCAACGTTTTTGAGACTTGTTGCTGCCTTTAAAATCAAAATGACGTGCTTCCAACTTTTCTTCCTTATACCGTTGCATAACCTGTTTATTTTCCCATTATATCGTGCCACAACGAAAATGTATTTGTGGGTACGATTACCGCTGAACGGTATGAAAAGGTTTTAGAGTGACACATGCTCCCATCCAGAAATGGACTTGAAGCATCATGAAAATTATTATTATTATTATTATTATTAATAATAATAATAATGTCAGTTTTCGTCATTTTTATAAAAAAATGTTTGGTTTTTTTCTTTCTTTCTTTGTTTCTTTGATATTATTTCTGTAAATACTTGTGTTTTCCGATGAATTAACGCCTGTTGATAACTCCCTGTACAATTTTCTCTCTTCTCGATACGCATTTATTGTGAAGGAAACCTACCGGAAGTGATATATCTAGGTTGCTCCGGGAGGCCGAAGCCATGGACTATCAGATAGAAGAAGAGGTGGGTTTGTTCATAGAAACTAGTTGTTGTTGCACGTTTTTCCTGTCACATACTTTGAATTCGCGTGCAGACTACGTTTCCCTGAAAGTGTGGTTAGAAGGCTGTGTCGCCTTGCTAGCTTTAACGGCGCTTTTTTCATTCAACAGGCTGGGTTCGTCGTTGAAGACGTGAGCACAATCATAAAAGAGGTAAAAAATAAAAAAAAAAGTTGTTGTTTTTTTAAAAACAACCCTTGGCAGTGTTGGTATTTTTAGTTTCACCCCCAAAAAGCTCAAGTTTAGGTTCTGTCGGGCCTTGGCTTTCAAATTTGTGTGTAGGAATGACCGGTTGCTAAGGGCACGGTAGCGGTTGCTAGGCAATGTCTCTAGCTGAACAGTTATACAGTACTCCACTAATTTGCCCTACCATATTCACTCCTTGAGGAAAACTTTTATTAAAAGTCTTAATTTTGTTACCTTTTTAAAATAATAATAGCTGTATAAGACTTATTGTAAGCTGTTTGATTACTGTGTTGATTACTTTGTTTTTTTTAATGATTAAAAAAATATCTGTATAGTCGGTGGAAGCAACCATAGGAGGAAACGCCTACCAGCACAACCGAGTGAACCAGTGGACCACCAGTATAGTGGAGCAGTGCCTCAGTCAGCTCAGCAAGCTGGGAAAGCCTTTCAAATATATTTGTATGTGGACTCCTACCCGTGAAATAACCACCTTGTGTCTCTTGTGGTTTTCAGTGGACGTTAAAAAACAATATATATGTTTTTACTGGATTTCTAATTCTGTTTTATCTGGATTTTTTTTTAACACATTTGACTTTATTGTATGCATTTTATTTTTATTTCAAATTAGTATTATTTCATGCTGAATTTTATTTTATGGACTTATTTTATACTTCTAAGTGCTATAAAATAATGTGCAATTTATGTTTCTCTGCTACAACAAAGGAATTTCCCAATGTTTGGCATTAGAAAAACCACAAAAGTTTTTTTTTTTTTTAATCTTATTATCTTCTCTTGTTCTGTTAGTAACCTGTGTCATCATGCAGAAAAATGGAGCAGGTATGCAAACAGCCAGCACATGCTTCTGGGACAACTCTACCGATGGTAAAGACAAAAACACTTGTGTATTTCTCATGTAGAATGTGTTCTTTTTTTAAGTTATCAATGAAAGGATTTGCGTCCCAGACTGTCCGTGTGACTGTTTAGATTGTATTTCAGTACAACCTCAGATGAACAGCAATACAGTGATTTAATAAAAACTAAGCGCAAATGCAACAGGAGAATGTAAAATACTAAGTACATATTTGCTGCATACATTTATTTATGCTTTAAGAGAGTGTAATAGTATCAATAGTATAATAATCAAATACACTTCATTAACTGATCATCAGCAACTGCAATGATCAGCAAGTGTGATGCCCAAATCTCTGCCCAAGCAGGTTTGGGCAGTTTCGTTATTACAATGTTGAGGAGGACAAATTCCAGTAATACCATGGAGAAGCACATCAGTTGTTCTTCATCTGAAGTTGTATTTACATCATTTTAGAAGCTGCTAAGGACCCAGTTATTTTTTATCATGTCCTAATACTAAAACTTTTGAACTAAAACAGAACTGAACAACTGATATCTCAGGCTGTTAATCATGTTTTGCACATGATTTGCTAATTAAAAGACAAATTCAGATCTAAATTAAGTTTGACTCCCCTGATTTAGAGGCTTAATCAGGGCTCAGAACAGTAAAGATGAATACAGAGGAACTGATCATCTTAATAACTGATTCATGATTTAGATTTTTAGTTTTCTGTGAGAAAATTAACCCCTTATTTTGTTTGAGTGTATAAATTTAACTCCGCTACGTACTGATATAATGTAATGTTATACCCAACAGGAAGCTGTACAGTGAGATGGGAGAACAAGTCTGTGTACTGCATTGTCAGTGTATTCGGGCTCGCCATCTGAACCTACATCACCAAACCCAGTGATTGTGTCCACATTTTTGAGAACTCCCGCTCTTTGTTTTGGGATTTTGATATGTTCATCTTGTGTGTTAAGAGAGATTTATTAAAACAGATATGCCTTATGTACATAGTTTTATTTACACAACATGACATGATAATGCTACATGTACAAGCTTTATCTTTTGAAGCAACAAATATTGCAGGTATTTTTTAAACACCAAAAACCACCCAGTTTAACCACCTTAAACTAACAAAAGCTACACTTGCACCGAAAGAATCAGACATGTAAACTAATCTTGAAGCACTTACAATTCTTAAGATTGCAGTCCCATTTAGAAGAAAATTGGGTGATGTAGAGACAAGGCACCATCTTGGTTAAAATATATATTTACAGAGAAGAGAAATACATTTGTTTTGGCCGATTTGTCAACTTGACCTCCAGCTTTAGGCAACTGAAAAAAAATGGCACAGTTTCCCACATTGTAAGGAAATATGGGCAAAGCTGCTGGGGGAAAAAAGTTTGCTTCAAAACAATCCAACATCTACTGTACATGCTGGGATAAAGAAACATTTAACATGATAGGTCTGTAGTCCATTATACTGCTGTGAGAAAATACATGCAATGTGTCACAAAATACAGTGTCATCACTTTTTTGGCAAGATAAATAAAATTCTTGAAAAGTGCATTTACATATAGCTGCTTTGCCAAAAATAGAAATAGTGAGTGGTACCAGCGGTCGAGTTTAAGGCTCTCTGTATTCAGCGTCTTGAAGACAGCAGACTCCCTGTTTACATGTCGTGTCAGGACAAGCGAGCCACACTGTATCTACTTTAAGAAGCTCATGTGCAGCAGATGCAGCATTACCTGTAAATGTCACTCAGCTCTGACCAGATAAGTGACTTCCCATTGTTCCCAGAGTGGAAAGAAATGGCATTAACACAAGAAAGACAACGGTTGTTTAATACAAGGCTTTTTTTTTTTTAAAGGAAAAAATTATGAAGAAATGATGATTTCACAGAAACATCCCTGGTTAACATGAGTCCTTTTTCCTGATAATTTTAATCATCAAGTTGAGAAAAAAGGCTGGCAATGGGTAGGTGAGGGTAGGGGGTTTATAGATTAAAACAAAGTGTTTGTTTCCCTTATTTTCAATTAAGAAAAAAAGTCTGAGTGGCTACATCATACCTCACCATCCAAAAGCAGTACATTCAGTAGACATGAACCGTTTTAAAAATATAATTATGTACACTTTGGAGTACATAAATTCATGTGCATCCTTTTTGTACATGTGCACAAGAGTTTCCAACGTGGACACAGTCAGAGATACCTCAGTCACTGTCACTCTCATCCTGGTACTTGGCAGTTGCTTTGATCGCACGCCCGTTTTGTAAAGGCATGTCTTCATAATCACTCCTGAAAAAAAAACAAAACAAGAAAAATATCAGGGGGTCTAGTATGCTTACACTGAGTTTACTCTGCACAATTAAAAAGGATTTGAAAGGCAAGTAGATAAAACACCTACCCGTATATCACTTCGTCGTCTGAGTCATTTAGCATGGAGAAAGCTGGATTATCCTTCAACTGGGAGTCTGGGAAATTCAACATAAAATTTGAATTTAAAAAAAAAGAAGCATGCTGGCAAAGCGTGCTGGTATAAATGAGCAACAAAGAAACTTCTATCTAACTCACCATAAAGTGCATTTTTCGAAGGAGAATACACAAATGCTAATGTGTACAAGTAAAAGTTGAGCAGGCCATAGAAGGACAAAAATTCAGCTGGTATGTTTTGAATTAAGGAACAGTGATGATCAAATGGCGCTATTTGAACACTCATAGTACTTTCTTTACTACAAGCCTCATTCACACACACATCCAGCATGTTTTTCAAATCAGGGTTCAGTATCTAGCCAAAGGATCCTTCAACATGTAGACTAGAGGACGTGGGAATTGAACCACTGGCCTTAGAGGACAACCCACTCAACCTCATGAACCAATAAATATGCCAAGTTGTGATGCAAATGTGCACAAATGAATACAAGTCAAAGGATATAGTTCTGGTAATGGGTGGACAATTCAGCAACAAAGTTGTCTTGAAGAGCCTTAGCACCAAACCTCAGGTAGAGAATAGCCATGCTGCGGGAGAAAGAGAGGTTAATCAGAAACACAGAAATAGTGAAAACGTTAAAAAAAAAAAGTTTGCTCTTTGTTGAACATACCTTATAATAAGAACCACAAACGTCAGTGCTGTCAGAAACTTGAGCCGGAGATCTGGTGATCGAGAAGAGACAGCTGGTTAACACTTTTACATTAAAAGTTGAAGTCGAATCGAACGCTGAGAGTTGTGGTGTGCTCTGATACCTGAGTAAGGCATGTTCTTAAGTTCAGAACAAGCTCTGACAATCAGGAATATCAAGTATAAGATGTAGAGGGCGACGACAATCAGGAAGAAGACTTTCATACCCTTTAAAAAAAATAACAAAGGGCTCAAAATAAATGAAAGTAGACCTGAAGCTATTTCTATGTAATATCTATCCATAAGGACATTAATCAAATTAAAATGAACAAAAATTTATAAACTTTAGTCTTTTAAATGACAAATTACAGATAAAACATTACACACTGGATAAGAAATTTCTTCAGCTTTCACTTTATAAGAAGCTGTTTAAAGAAGTGCTAACGGTAACAGTCTTACCTGAAAGTTCGCTATATCCACTTTGTACTGATAGGTGGGATCTTGGAGTTCATTAACCCTGAAAATTCAGATGGAGTAAAGCTTAGTCTGCTTGTTTGGTATGCATATAAATCACAAGTTCAATGAGCTGGGTTCTGTCTGGAGGTCGTGCTTACGTTTGCCATATGCCCAGAGTAACTGCTGACAGCCACAGAAGACCGACGATAACCAGCTTAGGCAGGTAGAAAGTCAGAAATTTCCTCTCACCCTGCAGAAGCAAAACACCAAGATAAAAGATTCATGTTGGTGTGCTAAAAATGGAAGGAAATCACTGAAGCTGCAGATTAATACTGTACCCACCTGGACTCTGATGCCGTGATAAACACAAAGCCAGAAGAGCAGCAGAGCACACAGGAACAGTGCCTGAAAGAAGGTGTCCAAGGTCCCTGGAAACCAGCTGTTCACCAGGAATGACAGCGGGAAGAAAGGATCTGAACGATGAAAACAAACAAACTGTTGAGTGTGTACACAGAGAGGTGTATGTTTTCTTATAGAAATTATTACCCAAATGTTCTTATTGGATGATTTATGTTTCTGTAATGTGTCAGGTGACATGTTCACCACGCTTCATATCACCTGTTTGTAAGAGTCAGCTCTCTACAACTTTAAATACACATGCATAAATAAAAAATATATATATAAATGGCAACTAGTCTCTACAACTCAGATATAATGTTTGTAAGTGGAAACGTATTCTAATTTAGTTATATCCATTTTCTCCCACTTATCCAGAGGGGGCACTTTACACCCTCTGTCCAGCCACTCCAACAGCTCTTCTTTCTTTAGCTCCTCTCAAATGACTTAGCTCCTGACCCTATCTCTAAGGAAGAGCCCAGAGAATACTCTGAGAATTCTCATGTCCCTCACTTGTACTTGTACTTGAATACCCACAGCATGTGACCATACATAACCATACATGAGGGTAGGTAGAACGGTAGATCACACTCATCTCTACTGTCACCATAATATACTGCATCACGGCAGACTCATGCACCAATCCACCTATCAATCTCCCACCACCCCTATCTAGCTGAGAGCCACAGCCTCAAGACTTGCAGGTCCTCATCCTCATCCCTGCTACAAACTGCCCCAGTGCAAGGTGGAGGTTGTCACACAATGAAGCCAACAGGACCAGCTCATCCACAAAAAAGTAGAGATAAGATGCAAGACCACTGAAATCGATACCCTCCTTCCCCTTGGGCACATGTAGAAATGCTGTCTGTCAAAATTATGAACAGAATAGAAGACAAAAGACAGCCCTGGGAAACTCCAGCTTTTGTTTGTTGAGTTGGTGCAATCGGCTCCAGGTGTGTAAGTGACAGGTAAAATGTGTCCTCAAGTGAGAAGAGAAACTTACCATTGTAGAGCAGCAACAAAGGGAGAAGAATAGACATCCACTTCTGCTCTATCCCCCAGTCTCTCATGGAAAATTTCCTCAGTGAGTGAGCAAACATACACTGGCACAAACAGGAAAAAGTACCATTAGTTATCCCATCTGGAAAAAGGTTTTGGTTTTAAGTGTTATAACAGGACAGAATGTGCAGATCAAACTGAATGAAAAAAAAATTATCATGTTCTTACGGTCACCATGAAGGTCAATACCACAAAGACAAACCGGAACCAAATTTCCACTTGTGAGAAGGTGGAATTATATGTTTTCCACTGAAGAGGGAAAAACAGGGGAGCAAGAGAGAGAGGAGTTCAAAAGCATGCGAGTTACTTGAGGCCTTGAGCAATTTAAAAAACAAACAAACAAACAAAACAAAAAAAACCTGGGATCTTTTTAACTTACCACAAACTTAACCTTGATGTCATATGTGATATTTTCAAGGCCTTTGAAGCTCACCATAACCTGGTACTGGGTGTAGTTCAGGTAGCCCAGATGCAGTACAATGATCTCATCGCAATTCTGTGAGGTGAGACAAAAAGAAAAAAGCAAAACAACACATGCTCAATAACCATCTGCACTACTTCTTAAATGTGCATCTAAAATTGTCTTCTCTGACACACACACTGCTGTGAGAGCAGGCTGACCGATACTTACAGCAGCCGCGCAGTGCAGCATCCGTGACTTAATGCGCCCGTTGTTGATGTGCATCACGCTGGCATCCTGCATCACTCCCTTCAACTCAACGTTGATCTCAAAGGGCTGCTTGAAATCTCTCACTGACAGCACAAATAACAGTAGTGTTACGTGGTGTTACCCATATTATACTAAAAGAGAAAGCTGTCTCCACCCCAACACAAAACTGTAAAAAGCTCAATCTGTGGTCTCTTACTTTTGCTGTTTTCAGCCTGCATCACACATGTGAGCCACAGCTGCTGATTGTAGGTGGTCAGGGGAGAAGAAACTAGATGAAAGGGCCCAGTCTGAAAACACATAAAGGCACAATCTGTTTATACATTTATTATTATTATTACTATTATCAGCAAACTTCAATTATTAAAAAATTTCACAAAAGGGGGCGCTCAAATGAGAACGCTTTTCTCAGAACAACATAAAACAAAATAAACTGCTACAATCAATGACAATGTAATAAACAAACATAACAATAACATGCTTCGCTAAAGTATCCTTGGGCAAGATATTGAACCCCTAAAACCTTCTGATAAGTTGTGAACTTTCAACGACACGCTGTTAAAGACACAGTTGAACTATGAACATTAAGGTGATGTAATAAAATGTGCTTCTTATCAAGGTGCTGCACTGACATACATTTTTAAAGAGCTCTTCAAATAAAGATTATAACCTATACTAACACAGTAAAGTGAATTTGTAGAGTGAAATCTGATTAATTAATGATAATTAATAATAATAAAGCCTGGTTAATGCAAACCAACTGATGGTTAATCTCAAAGCCTTAAGAAGATCATCTCTGCAGCAAGAAGAGAAATTATGAGTGGAGAGGATGAATCATTTCACTTTATAAGCCATTTAATCCTATCCCTTTAAAATTCCAATTTAAGCGAATCACCAAGTTCTCCGTGACTGCATGAAATAGCACAATAAAAAGACACTAGGGAAAATATCTAAAACTAGATTTTTGCAGTCTATCTTTGGGACATTTAAGTTTCACCACAGCAAAACAATATCAATATTGTTAAGAAGCGTTGTGTAAAAGGAGTCTAATTCTCCAAGCAGTGACTCTCTTATCAACATTTTCCATCAAATTCAAAGTAATGGGCATTTCCTTGACTTTTCAACAACGGTCCTCAAATATTTTAGTGCAGAACTGCCGATGCATATCCTTCTATCTAACAAATGCCTCACCTTAACAGAAACGTTTTTTGCAAGGAACTGGTCACCATTGTGCTCCTGCTCAGCAATAATCCTTGGACCTACAAAATAAAACACTTGTTAAATCAGTGCAACATCCCAGAAACCTAACCTAACCTCAAACAGGAAAAGATAGGCGATGGCTGGTTTATTTTAACGTCTACATTTGAATGATCACTGTCATCATACCTGTTATTCCTATGAAGACTGTGAGGCCGAAGCACATCAGGAAGACCACGAAGACTAGCACAAAATGTCTTTTAGATAAGGTGTACAGCCGCATGGGAGCCAATCTGTCACGGGGAGACAGTCACTGGGGTTATCACACACTAAGTAAGACATCCACACGAAGAAAGTAGCGCGAACGAAACCTGGTGGTGAATATTTGCTTAGTGGTTTCGGTGTTAGCTCAGAGGCTGTTCAGAGACGGATATGTCAACAGTGATTAGCTCCCATGCTACTTCATGCTAGCAGTGGTTGATCCCAGCAGAGCCACACAGTGCCTCTAACGCTACTTTTCGTGCTTGTAAGTACTAGTGGAGTACTTCGAGGATCTCGGCTGGACAAATCTTACCCGTACATGTCCATTTCTGTCGGTTAGCGACGTTGGTCAAGTGAAAACCAGTGAAAATTTCGCAGTGAATCCACATCCGCGTATCAACATCACTCCACGACAACTGGAATGCAACGTCATGGAATGGGAGGGGCGGAGTCTCGTGACGGCAGCAGACAGGGGAAAGGGGTCGTGAAAAGGAGGCTTCTGGGAGTGAAGGAGCATCCCATTGCCTCCTTTGTTTATCAGCTCACTAACGTTTAGTACCTTAACACTATGCAAAGCGTTACATACACTAAATTAATTTAGTGTTGTACATTACATCGATATATTTAATCTATGGTAACAGAGCCTTATTTTATTCAGGCGTGTGATTAAATATCTTCAAAGTGACGGCTGATTGTAGTTTCGCGCAGGCGTAGTGGGAACACATCGCATGTCGAGCGTTGACTTCTAACAACCGGAGTGATGAAAATTATATCTCTCACGAATCATACAACCAACCATTTGCTTTTGTACAATTAAATATGGCTTTTAACCGACATTAAAATACATCTAAAGAAATAAATTTCTACAGGGTAGCACTTGTTGCCTTTGGTAGAAATCGTACCGTGTTTAAATTGTGGATTTAGCTAACATATGTGTTCTAAGTGTATGTCGGCAAAGGACTCAGCCTTTCCCGTTTTCCCCATTTATTTGAATTTCTCCTGCCTTATGGTTTAGAAAACCACTGGTTCTGTATAACATTTTTTTAAACGAAAAAAAGACGGATGGCTGGCGTCACGACAGAGATGTGAGATATTTCTGATTTAAAACGCAGACGTACACAATGAAAGTAAACCCACCATGCATGTGTGTATATTTAAGCTAGAGGCGCCTACCTATAAAAGCGGTCATCGCGATAAGGTGTCAGGTCCTCTTTGAGCTCATTGTAGGCCTCCCGTATTTTCCTACAGAAATACTTGAGCTCGCTGTACAGAGGGTTCTCCAGGCCGGACGAGTAGTCGGTGTCCATTATTATTATTATTATTATCACACCCGAAATGGCGATGAGGAAACAATCCGGGGGCCTCAGTAAAAGGCGCAGTCACCTGTCACGTATTGTTACGTGCGTAAATTAAAAGTGCAGCCCAAGCCGTTTTGTTTGTGTGGCTTCAAAAAAAAAGGGCTGTTAAAACAAGAAAAGAAGAGCGGGGGGCGGAAACGTAGAGGACAGTCACATGATCAGAGTTCAGCACCATGGACAGAGGCTGTTAACAGGAAGCTACATTGGTCAGTAAGAAGTGTCTGTGGAGCCGTCTTTTAGCTCTAACAACCCCCATGGACCACGGTTGCATAAAATAAATTAGTAAACAATTTATTGCGTCTTAGCGCAATCTGAGTCACACTGATTGACAGGAGGTGCGAGCAATCACTGAAAAATGGGTGGATTAAAACATATAGATAATATAGGGGTTTTTTCCCCTTAACGTAAAGACAAAATAACTAATTTAATTTATTCTACAAACTGGCATTACACCAGCCAAACCATTTAAGCACATACACAGTTTAATAAACTCTAAAAACTGTAAAATGCAAACAAAATAAACAAAATAAAAATAATAAAAAAATTATATGACAAAAAATGAGGTGAAAACTGCAAGTACAAATCTAAATACAACAAAACATGAGGTAAATTCTTAATTTTTATGCGCGCTTTCTCATAAATATTAATTACGGTAAATGAAGTGTGCGATTAAACTCGAGGTCTCCTTTAATAAGAGGAATTAAGTTCTTTTTTGTCTGTGCTATAGGAAGCTGTGCTTTGGGAACGTCCACAGGTTTATACACATCTCAGTAGCAGAATCTCAGACTGTACATGTATTAAATTAGTCAAAATTACGATGTTCTTTGTCTTTTCTCAGCAGTAAAAGTCATATTAATTGGTACTACCAGTGATGGCTGTACAGGTGTGTCGCACTCGCCACTTTCAAAGTGTCTGCTGTCTGAGATAACAGAACCACCTTGTGTATACTGGTTCAGCAGCTGCTTAGATCTGATTTCAACCATGTGGACGTTTGCCTCAGTATTCAGTGTTGAGGTCTGGGGTCAGGTTCTGTTTCTCTCTCTCTCTCTGTCCAAGGATACTTATACTGCATTGTTTGGGAACACTGTCATACTAAAAAATCTGGTGGTACTTTTCCGTGTTCATAATTCCATCAAGTTTGACAAGATCTTCTACACCACTAACTGAAATGCATGTGTTTGATGGAAGGCTGTGAACACTCACTGTTGTGCCTCTTTCGTGAACTCATATTGATGAATCCAAATGGTTTTGAAATTATCACTTCATAATACACAGTGCCACTGATTAGCAGTCCAGTTCTTGTTTAATTTGGCACACTTCTCCATGTTTTAATTTCTTAAGTGTGGCTTCTTGATAGTCACCTTTTCATTGAGACCATTTCTAATGTGGATTCAGTGAACTGATGGATCAACTGAAGAGTCAGCTGCTAGCTCAGGTCCCGGATTTTCTTTCCCATCTTGTAAGGACACGACTTTCAGATACCGTTCATCTGCTGAAGAGTGTTTTTAGGCCACCCACTTCTTCAGCTTCCTTAAATGTGTTGAGGACACACCATCCTATGATATATCACGTTTCGGGCTAATAGTACTTTGGAACCCATCTGTGGTAAATTACAGATTCAATAAAGAAATTAATTTTTTTTTCAGCAGGCTGATAGCAACAAAGTAACTAAAGATAGCAAAGAACAAATATTAAGTTCTAAGTTGTTTGCTATATAGACACAACACTGGTTCATCCCGCCATTTAGGTTCCTGTTTTAAGCTTGAATGATCCATAGAGAAGTGTTAAGTGGCTTATCAACCAAACAAACATCCCTCTGAAAATTGTCAGGTACAAGGACTGGACTGAAAATGAATGAAAAAGCAGCCTATGTCCAAAAAAACCCAACAACAACAACTTGGACGAACCTTCAGAAACCTGGAGGACTATTGCTTAAGAGCACAAAAAATTACAAGAAAGTCTGGCTCCTTGGAGCTTTGCAGTATATTTATGTATATTTAAGACGAAACCAGTGTTTTTCTGAAACAATGACATTTTATTCAAAAGATGCGTGACATATACAATTATAAAATAATTTACATGGCATGCCTTACTATCCATTCACTATAAACGTTCAGTCACCAAGTCAGACTCTGACTTTTTCCCCCAAGTTGTTTTTTTTTTGTCATTTAACTCTACAGCTACAAATACAAAGCACAGATCTTTTCTAGAGAAAAGCCAAATCCTACAATATCTACAACAGGTCATCATCAGTTTAAAGTGAACCCTTAACCAAGTCCATTAGCAACGCTGAACGTGAACTCAGTGGCTTACACTTGTGAACTCCTGTGAAAGATGAATGAGTGTGTATGTGCAGGAAGTCATGACCACACATGGTTGAAGAGGATAGATTCAACACTGATGGGGCTGGTAGACTGCACAGCTGAATACAGACACACCATGACTTGACATTTACACTCTACATAACTAGTCTACAAACTACAATAAACCGGGCACTTACTCATTCACATCTTTTCCACCAATGCAAACTTCACAAAACATCAAAAAGTCACCTGTTCCCATCCCTCAAACCCAATCCCTGCATTTCCATCTCATAACTTGGGCTATACTTGTAAACCCCCCCCCCAACACAAAGAAATGTTTGGGGGAAAAAAACTTCACAATATACAGTATGTATACTTGATCTACATTGAGGAACAATCTCATAAATAAAGATGTACAGACCAGCAACTGAGATGCTAAAGTAAAAAGGTAACAAACTGTGGTCACAAGAAATGACAAAGGTTTTTTTGTTAAAGAAAATATTGCACAACTAACAAAAAAAAAAAAGTTTTCTTTACGACATGCTCGTTTTCAAGATCAGGAGACCATTTATTTTTCTCCTCAGTCCACATCTCTACAACCCACTTCCCAACAGACATGCTTGTTTTGTTTTTTTCTTTTTTAAATATGAGAAAAAATAAAATAAAAAAAAATCTAATAATCTCATCAAATCAGAGACCAAGCAGAGCTGGTCCAAAGTAAAGAAGTTACACTTCCCAATAGGCCTGTTTGTTTCAGCTTGAGATTTTCAGAAGTCTATATTTTGGCACAAATATTTGAGGTGGTATGCCATCACACCTTCCCAATTTCACTGAGCACTCAACATTCCCGTTTCTCTCTGTGATTTTTGGCTGTCATCTAATGCACATATTTGCACCGTGAATGAATAATTTACTGCTGCCCATAGTTCTTCCAGCTGGCCTCGTTCTTTGTCCTTAGCTGATCACAAACAAAAGCTTCCCTGCCTCAAACAGCAACAACAACAACAACAACAAAAACAAAAACCCCAAAACAAAACAGCTTTTCAGATTTCAAAGTCAGCTTACTGAACGGGCAGATCTCGTAGCTTCATTCTCCGTCGGAGACCAGACTTTAGAGTTTCAGTGATGGTAAGATCAACTTAACTGCTCTCTATGGTCCTGGCTGCTTAGTTAAAACAGTACTACAGCTCTCCTCCACATGTGGAATTACACTTACACACAGTGGAGACAAGTGTAAACAGAAATCTGCCACCTAAGTCTCTTTACAACATTGTACATTTGACTGATATGTATTTACATGAGTTCTGAAAGGAGTATGAAATGGCATAAGTGAAATATACAAAAATATTTCATGTACCTTACTAGGATGTTTAGTGTGGTCTTTAAGAGAAGGGACAGCCCCCCCAAAACAACAACAACTACATACTCACTTCACAGAAGTGACATCAGGTGACAAATCACTTCATGCCAGAGCTTAAATTGTTCAGTCTCGGCCTTGGCCACTTCTTTGGCGCCCATGTCACCAGTACAGGATAGTACAGGATACGTCTGTACACTGCTATGACCTGAATTCTCCTGACTACACAGTAATATTCAAACTCAGTCTCCCAAATAAATCAGGTAAGAAAGCTGTGTGAGGATTATGTAACACAACAATGACAATAATGTTAAGATTTCTATCTGAATCGATAAACAACATGTACATATAAATTAGAGTAACATTTCTTCTTCCTTCAAAGCAGCACGTGGACTGCAGGTCTTTACCTTTCAGATATTGTAACAGTGGCCCACTTTTCACAACAGTGAAAAGCCTGAACTCTTAGTAGTGTTCCAAAATAATGCATATATCTAAACCTCATTTCCAGCCCAGACAGGCTGCAACAGTAACAAAAGGAAAGGGCAGAGAGCAAAAACAAAAAAAGACCCTCCTACCCTCCACTGTGTTTAGTCTTTTAAGAAAATCCTAAAAGCAAAAGCAGTATAATAAAGTGGTAACTGTTTCACTAAAGGTTTGTACAGCAATGGATTTCAGTGCCCAGTAGTACCTGTGCGCTCTAGGGATAACAAGTTTGATCTCCAGAGTGTGTTTTTCAAGTATTACTGCTGCTTCTTTTGAAAACTGCACCATAGCAATTCCTCTCTCTCTCTCTCTTAACCAATTGGTTATCACATCTATAAGCTTCTCCTAGCTAAAGCAGCATTTATTTGCATGATGATTTACCAAAGCTCAGCTCTTTGGCCCTACATGCACTGCAGGGTGCCGGCAACTGCCGAACGGAGCAGGTCTGACGGCATCCTTCATAAATGCAATCGATGCTTTTGCACCAACACTAGTGGCAGCATTGTGTAGTGCAGCGTGATTGTATTTCTCTCTATGGCCAGGGCTTATTTTAGTCCTCGTCTCCAGAATCCAATCCAAGAGTTTATGATTCTCAAATGAAACAGCTGTACCCCCTTCAACAGACTGCATCTAAAGCCCACAACTCAGGGTAAATAGGGAGGAGACATCTCATTTGAGGCGTTGAGTAACATTGGCCAAAGCTACTGCAAAGGCCTGCACAGCAGAGAAGGGATATTGGAAGTCCAGGATGTAGGCATTGCCATCAATTCTGCCAAACTGCATCACCTACACAGGAAAAACAAAACAAACAAACAAAAAAACGTTCATGCAGGTTGAAAGGAAAAAAGGTTCAATCCTGTTGGAGAAATGCTCTAAATCGATAAATGTTGAATGTGTGTACTTATTATTTCTGCAAGTTATATAAGAAAAGTCTCACCTGTCTCCCCTCCAGTTCAATCTGAAAGTTCTTGGCGGACTCCTGGGTGACACGGCCACCGAAGTCCAGCTGGTATACCTGCGTGGCTTCATTCCACAGTGGCTGCTTGTTGGCCATGACATACACAAAGCCCTGGCTGCCAAGCCCTCTGTCCTCCTTCTCATTGGCTTTTCGACACTTGATCTCATCCAGCTCACTGGCAGCCCTCAAGTTCCTCTTACTCTTCCAACCCTTTTTACTGCTCTGGCACTGATTGAGCAGCTCGTCCCCACTGATAAATAGCTCTGGCTCACTTTCTGAACTATCTTGGAACTCACTATTGGCAGTGGCTTTACTCAGCTTCTTAGCCTTCAACTGTTGCTCTTTCTGTCCCTTGATCTTCTTCTTGTCTCTTCCTCCCAACCGTGGACTGGAAATGAGAGAATTGAAATCACCCAGGGCTCTGCCCTCTTTTTTGGATTTGCTCCCTTCGGCCAGTGGCGGCACATTAGCTTCCTCAGCCCGACCGTCCACGCGCTTGCGGTTCTTCTTACTGAACTTCTCCGATCGCTGCGGTACAGGGCTCTCAGTCAAGGAGAGCACCTCCTGAAAACTCTCCCCAGCCTCTGTCATGGCCTCTTGTAATCCCCCATGGCTCTGCAGCTCTGCTGGTGGTGGCGGAGGTGGTGGTGGCGGAGGAGGTGGTGGTGAGAGAACATTTTTGTCTACTGCCAGGTGGGAGGCTTTGGGTGGTAGTGGCACTGCAGGACTGGTCATAGGTGGGCAAGAATTGTAAGTACCCCAGGGTGTGTGGAGGGCAATGGGAGGAATGGGAAGCCCAGCACAAGCACTTCCTCCTGGGTACATAGGTGGGAGGGGGCAGCAGGCTAGGTTGGCCAGATTTGCAGAATAACCTGGTGGTAACACTAGGGTTGCATCCTGTTGTGAAAAGGGCAAAGGTGCCACCACCTCCTTTGGTGAGGCGCAGGGGCGTGGAGAACCTGGGATGGGTTGGAGCTGGGCTCCAGAATAGGCAGTTGCTGGGGGGTACTGGAGCGAGATCTGGTAGCCTGTAGCTGCTGCAGCAGCAGCAGCTTGGAATGATGCAGCACTAGGACTTGTGGGGGACTTTGGAGAAAGGACAAAAGGCAGCCTGGTTACATCCAAGTGCTGAGCTGGGCTAAGAATAAGGGGAGGTGGTTTGTGTGGTACAGGGGGGGCAGTGGAGTTTAAAGTCGCTGTCCGTTCCTGAGGAACCCACACCTCCTCTGTGGATGCTGGATCCCACTGATAGGGAGGTGGGCGCTTGACCACCAGCCCTGATGCATCACTTCCTCCTAGTGCCAGATGCCTCAATGATTGGTTCAGTGTCTCATCCTCTGTGAATGCTGAATTAACGTAATCAGCCCTATCTCTGCCGCTTACCCCTGCTGCAGCTCCAGACACTTCAAGTGAACTCATCAGATTATAAGAGGACTGGGAGGCCAGAGGAGTAGCACTGTTTGAATGAACAATGACTGTGCTGTGCGGTGCTCCGTTGCCTGGAGGAAAATCTTGTCTGATAATAGTTCCTCCCGCTATTCCATTAGCACTCCCTGGGGCAGTGCCTCCAACACTAGATCCACTGCTACACTGACTACAGGTGTATAAGGCTGTTGGCACCCTCTGCTGGAACGAGGCTGCTAGTGCAGTACTGTTTTTCGCCTTGGGAGGGAGTGGTCTAGGTGGTTCCAGCATCTGGGAAACTTTGAGGGCTGCCTCTCGGCTGTTCCTCCTGAGGGTGGCGTGGATCAAACTGCTGTCAAGCCTCTGTCCAGGATTCCTGCCAGCAGAGCTGTTTTGATTAGCTGAATCAGGGTACGGAGGCGGGTCTCCACTGGGTATAGAATAGCGAGGTGCAGTGAGTCTGTTGAGGGTAGCAGAGGTGTAGGGCAGCTGCAGCTTCTTGTCAGCCGAGGAGGAGGATGAAGACGAGGTTACCCTGAGAGTGGCGGAGCTGCCAGGTCCTTGGAGCGTGTAGACATTCTGATTGCAGACCAGGCGTGTTCGAGGACGACATACTTCTTCCACATTCCCACTGCTGTCAAATGTCGTTATCCTCTCATAGCCCAGCGGTGTTGGATACTGAGCTTGTTGCTGGCCTGAAGGATGAAGTGGAAACTCACCCTTCTTCATGCAAAGGTCTCCAGCGGGAGGAGTTCCACTGGCGCCCCCTCCTAATCCAGACGCAGCACTGGAAGATGCAGCGGAAGCTGATACCGAGGCAGCAGCAGCAGCAGCCACAGCAGCAGCCACTGTCCCAGGGTAGGGGGGTGGGGGGTTCATCTTGCTTAGCTCTAGAGGGGCACTGAACACCACCGTGTCACCCTCAGCCAGCTGTGGAGGTGACCGAGTAGTTTTGATCTTCAGTAAGTGTTCGTGCTCGCCCCCTACTGCTCTCTCAACCACTAAATCAGCAGACTGATGAGGAATCTGGATATGCAAAGCCCCAGGTTGTAGCTGGTGCAGAGGTGCACCCGAAGGCTGTCCTGAAGACATCGAGGAAACGGGGATTTGAATTTGAAGCTGCTGAAGCTGATGGTGCTGCTGTTGTTGCTGCTGTTGCTGTGCTTGCAGCTGATGGTGCATTTGCTGCTGTTGCTGCAGTTGCTGCTGTTGCTGCAGTTGCTGCTGAAGTTGTTGCTGTTGCTGTAGATGTATGTGCTGCTGGAGCTGCTGCTGCTGTATGTGTTGGAGCTGCTGCTGAATGTGCTGCTGCTGTTGTTGTAAGTGTTGGTGCTGGAGCATCTGCTGCTGCTGCTGTTGGAGTTGCTGTTGATGGTGCTGAATTTGTTGTTGGTGGTGTTGAAGTGACTGTTGTTGTTGCTGTTGTTGATGTTGACTTGGGTGTTGTTGCTGTTGTTGTTGTTGTGAAGGATGATGAGAAGGTGGCGGTCCAACCACTAGGCGACCTACTTCCAGTCCCCCAAATATGACCTGACCAGGACTCGAGTACCTGGTCGGTACTGTGTACTGGGCTGTCAAGATGGTGTCCTGGCTTTGGTCTGACCCACCAGCAGCCCCTCCAGTAGAGGTTGCCGTGGAATTGGTTAGGACATCCAACTGAACATTCTGATTGGCTAGGAGTGACTGGACCAGACCAATGCTTTGGGCAGGGGACATGGCCTGGGCTGGACTATGGATGGGGGCAATAGGGATGTTGACAGTGCAGGGTGGGTTGTCATCAGCACCGCCAGTAGGGCCTGAAACAGGCAGGTCATCTTCATCCTCGCTAAAAACATTGGGGCTGAAGACAGGGAGGTTGATGTAGTCCATGGAGATTTTCCGCACCTCTGGCAGGTAGATGGTCATCTGTCTGGGCTGCAGATGGAGGAGGCTTGTCTTGTAGATAACTAAGGAGTGAGACGCACAATAAAAATAAATAAATTAGGAAAAGAAAAGTGACAACAGACAAATTAGACTTAACTGGAATTAATGTTTAATTATCCAACACGTTGATTTGTTACCTGCACCGAGATTGGTGGGTAAAAAAGTAGCCAGCCCCACTATCTTGAACTTTGTTCCCCAAATATTGGATGTGACCTGAGCAAGGTAATTTTGCTGCAAGACAAAAAAAAACGATGCATTTTTCTATAAATATATTAGACACATTCCGAAATTTACAACAGTACATTTTATGTAAAAATCCATCTGTCGTGCTTCACAGCACACACAGGCAGCACGTGATCCCTTACCAGCTTCTCACTCAGCTACAATAACCTGATGTTTACCTGAGTGATGTCATCTAGAGGAAATTCCCTCCGTGTTAGACTGGGAGACCCAATTGAGGGTTTACGTATGGGTAACCGAGGTGACCTGGAGATCTCCTGCGTAGCACGGGAGAGTTTGGGAGATTTTCTGGGATCAATGTTGATCCTGTTGGTAAAGGGACAAACTAAGTCTCTACAGAGAAAGTGGCAAATAAAAAAAAAAAAGAAGAAGGTTTAGGCATGCAGAGAAACCAAAAAGCAAACAGCAAAGAAAAGAAGCATTCAAATAAATTTTAACAGTTAAAACAAAAAAACTCAGAAAAAATTAGTTTCAATGCCATAAAATCTTAAACAGAATTAATGTGGCTGTTTACATGTTTCTGAAATGTATTCACTGTCATATAAATGCTTCTTGTATCAGACTCTTCAGCATGCCAGTGATCACTTGATTCCCGCTTATTTAAAACTGAAAACCTGCAGAGAACTAATCTCCTCTTGTCTGCTTCACCTAAATCACTGAAAAGATCCAAGTGTCAAACAGAAGAGACAAAGTGGCTTGATGCAACATGCTCCTGTACACACAAAGCCGGGGTTTAGTTACCTGGGAAGTTTGGGGGACTTGCTACCCCTGGATATCTTTGGCGATTTCTTGCCAACCCAGTCATCACTCAGCTCAATGTCGCTGGAGTCTGAACAGTTACAGCTGTCAATCATGGCTGATATCAGACTGTTGCTGTATATCTCATCTGTGGAGACAAAATATGAAAATGACACTTAAGATGTTACTTTTGATGAAATGTTCAGATCAATACAACCAAAAACAACGTGTCATTTGTTCTCTCAGTTAAGTCACTGCTCAACTGTTAGTAATGTTGCTTTTTCAGATGGGCTGGATAAAGAATGATAAAATATGAATGCCTTTTGGTATTCTTTTTAGGTATGTTGAAACTGCAGGAAGCATTTTCAAATCTACTTGAACAACCCGGAGGCAAGAATTGTCATAGCTTTGCCACAACATCACCATCATTATCATCCTATCAAAGCACTTTTCTACCATTTCTCAAACATTCATTTCTTCAGTCGTTCTCACTTTGTCTCCTCTTCCACAGTCACAAGGAGTCTGCAAAGCACAGCTGCTGCTCCAGTTTAGGTCAAACTAATTTATTTGATGAACATAAAAGTGTGAATGGTCTGGAACCATTTCATGGCTGGCTTCATTTATCACTGCGTGGGGAGAGAGAGGGTTGATTTATGAGCAACCCAGGGGCCATAAGAGGCCCCATTAAGCAGCTTTTAATTAACATGGGTCCAGTCTGCCCTATGTGACTAAAACTCGCAAAGTAAGAACGTCTGGAAAACTACTGGACAATGTCAGAACTGTGTCGGGGTTCATCTTTTGCAGTTCTACTTGAATTTCAGAATCAAAGATGCATTTTTAGTTCTTATCTCTACGATCTTACTGTATTCTTTATTTTAGAACCAACATAAAAATGTAGTTATTGCATTTAGAAGCTAACAAACATTTCAGGTCTTCTTTGGAAAATTATTCTTTTTAAGTTACAGGTATGAAAAAACTAATCTCACCTGTTTTGCCGTCTGTCTTGGGATCCATAATAACAAACTCAGGCCGAAGTTTGCTTATTCTTCGGCCCTTGAGGATAGGGACCAGACCTCCTAGGTACTCCAGATACAGAGTATAGCAAGGCCCTCCCACTTCAGGGTTATCCTCCGTACGCTTCATGGTGCAGTGCAGACGCTCGTTTCCAGCTGTCGGATAGCTCACAAAATCTCTCATGTTGTTTGGGTCTGGGATGGGAGGCTAGAAATGTAAAGTACAGTTAAGTTTAAAAGCTTTTATGCTAATTACAGCTCTTCCCAAACCACTATTAAATCTATTCACATGGTGTTTTATGGTTTTAATAGAAATAAACCCCTCCTGGCCTGTGTTACCTTGATGGTGGGAACAAAAGCGGCAGTGACATAAGAACAGAGTCGGGAAGGCATGGTGAGCTTGGCAACGTCTTTTTCCTCCTTTAACGCTGTGGCAATGCCCTGCTGGCACAGCAGCTGCAGTGTGGCGACGCGGTGCTCAACTCGCACGACGTAGAGCACTGGGCCCGATGCCAAGAACAGACGAGAGTCCCGGTGACCCCAGCAGAGCGTAGTGATGGGGCGCTACAGTGTGAAGGGGAAGACACATCTGAGAATGAATAATATGCTTTCACAAGGCTAATGTAAAGCAAATCATGTCATTACTGCAAAACACTTCTTTGCTGGAGTGAAATCCTCAGAGTGATTCCTGAGAACAGTGATGTCATTCAATAAAAACCGAAAACAAAAGGAAATTATCTGTGAATGTTTACCGAAGTCTGTCATGCAGGCTGATTATTCGCGTAAAATAAAATAAATGAAAATCTTTAATCTTAAAATCTTACTATAATGATCAAAATGAATGTATGTACCCTCTGACGTCCTTAACAGGTGAGCCAATCTCCAAAACGAACATTGTCATGTATACATCAATGATTAACATCTCCGTTTTTAAACAAAGATACATTTTCCTGTATAGTATGTTCATTTCATCATCCCCCTACTTTCACATTTGTTTCACGAGTCAAGTTCACTTCACAGTTTCCAGAAATTGAATCCGAGACGATTTTTGTTAGAGTCAACACTTAATATGGAATGAAGAATTTGAAAAAGCATCGTGATCCTGGAAAGAATATTATCAGGGTTCATATGCATTTTTCAGGGTCAAATTCAAGCACTTTTTAAACACTTCCGAGGTCAATTTTCATGCTTTTCCAGCACAAAATAATAAAAAATAGTTTTAAAAATATGCACGTGTTATGTACACATTCTCGAAAATTATTTACTCACCTATCATGTGACTCGAGAGCGCAAACTCCGCCATTGGCGTTTTAAGGAGTGTTTGATGGAAACAACAATCTCCAGGCATGTTAGTGCACTCATCCCCGACTGTCCGGGGGAGGGGCGGGGTCACACATTGAAATACACTGACATTCAGAGGTCGTAGGCAGCCCAGGCAGAGAAATTTTGCTTTTAGACTTTGCGACTCATTTTATTTCTCTATCTGGTAAGAAAACTATTCGGTCAGATAGTTATTTGTGGTGAATGAAATACAGTTTCAAGCACTTTTAAGCACCACATCTGAAATTCAAGCACTTTTCAAACCTTGAAAAGACAATATTAGACTTCAAGCATTTTCAAGGATTTCAAGCACCCGTACAAACCCTGCAGTATCTTGTGTCATTACTATCTGCTAATTAAGTAGCCCTGGCCTTCCCATCTCATATTGTTCCTACCCCGGCTCACTGACTCACTTAAACTATAGTTGGTTATGGTAGTCCTCCCTTCTGCAAACTGAAGGGCCACTCGAACCACAACCTGCATTACTAAATATAAGAACAACTATTTTTCTAGGGTGACACTCATAAGTCACCTGTGCTGGTGTATCCAGTGTGTAGATGTGTTCGCCTCGAACATTGTAGAACTTGACAATGGCGTTCCTGCTGGGTGGAGGACAGGAGGTGTCAGTGGAAAGGAGGGTCCTCTCCATCCCTGCCACTGCTAGTAGATCCCCCTGTGAGCACCACTGGACCACCACATCTACAACACAGAGCAAAGTAGTACACATACGTTTATGAAGGGCAACATCATTTTACACATTTTTGCATCATTTAAAAAAAAGAATTAACACAACTGAATGAAGGACACAATGAAACGAGCAAAGGCCAAAGCAGCTAGAGAACTGCTAACTTAACAAAATTAATAACAAACGCACACAAACCTTTCAGAGCAGTGTGGATGAGGATGGGGGAGAGGTCGTCGTAGCTGTTCATCAGATTGATGTCTCCAGAGGTGAAGCTGACTGTCAGCAGTGGTTTCTGGCTGTGCACTAGGAATAAATAAAGAAAAACAAAACACAAACATATTAGCCAGGCATTGTGAACAGCTGTTCTGTTCATCAGAACTATCAATCACAATGTTTTTTAGATTTAATAGACACGTGTTTAGGAGAACTACACTTCTTTTATCATTTGTATGTATTTGCCTAAAAGTATAAATAATGTGTTTGTAGCTTAGAATAAGCATTTTCTATATACATAAAGAGTGCGCCCTCTTCCATGGAGCCCATTGAGCTTCAGAGTCAGCCAGAAAAGAAAGCCCAAACAATGGTTGTGGATGGTGTAGCCGCGATAGATTTGGAAAGTGTTAGCTGTTAGCTTTGACCTCACCACTAGACGCCACTAAAGTCTGTACATCGGTCTTTAAAAGAATGTTAATTTGTGCCCATCAGTGGGGAACGTGTGAAAAATATACAAGTCTGTGCCCTCAGTAGCTTCCAATAATACAACACAACAGCTTTCCTTTAACCAACTTTCTACCCACTACTAGAATTTAGCCTCACATCAAAAACAAGTGCAAAAACGACTGAGACAAAACGTTAAGTGACAGAACAAACTAGTTCAAAAACAGAACTGTAAGGTACTTCAGTTTGAATCATCTGACATTTAGGGACATTATTCAAGAGTATATTCCGATTTTTAACATTACTATAAATAACACACCTTCAGAGAGCACTCATACATCTTCATTGAAATATCCTTGACTCCGTACGTTAATGTAATCCTGCAATGACCCAAATAGTACCATAAATAAAACGTCCACTTCTGCTTTGTTGTTGCAACATCCCCACAGATAGGATTTTAAATAGGTGTTGCTTTAAATCCGATACAAAATGGGGCTGTAACTGCAGTGTACTGTGCTGTGCGATGATAATGGGTTATCATCATGTATCATGACAAAGATTTGACAAGCCTTGTGCGTCACTCAAGTTGTTGACTCAAGAGATCATTTCTACTGGGGCCAATCAATTCATATTGAATGGTTTAATTAGTGAGTTAGAGCCTGATCTGTGTTCCAGCTTAGGTAAGCAGTTTTCAGCCTGGCCTGTGGTGAAAGAAGGCGGAAAAAAAAAATTAAATAGACCACTGGGAGGAGGATAGACCCTCACCAATATATCCCTAGCAATTGGGACTAATTAAGCTAATTTTTATTGGTTCCTGTTTTGTTTCTTTTGCCTCTTTTTCTCTACAGTTTGTTACGCTGGCTGGTGTGCATACGGAAATCAGCAGGAGAGGAGGCTGACCAGATGCAACAATTCCCTTGACAGACAGCTTACATCCCAGTGCACTAGATATTTTCTGTCCCAGTGGAAAACTGTTTTTTAGTTGGCTTGTGTTTCTTATGCTTCGTTAAACAGCTTACACTGGACCAGCAGCATACAGCTGTAGTTTAAATGCTTTTACCGAACACACTTATACATGTTGAGAAAAGCCAAGAACTATTTTTTTAAAGCTACTTTGGGTCACAGAGGTCCATTTGAGGAGACAAGACTGAAGCATGGGTTGCAGAAGTGCTTGTGACCTGGCTACTTCCAGACATTTGAATTTGTTCACTCCACAGTTGACTGATTTGTCTGGCTTGGTGACATGAAGTGGTGGTTTCTTGATTAAAAGGCAATCAGTCCAATGTACGCAACAGGAAGGCTAATGATTAGCCAATCAGTGCCACTGGCAAAATTACTGCCATTTGTCAAGCAATGTCAAGCTGTGCACTGCAACAAGGATATATTAAACCATCAGTTTCACTTGTTTTGGAGATGCAGGTGCAGAAATCTGTTTTTATATGAAAATACCTAAAGGGGTTTTGGAGAAGTGGTCCACTTTTGGTATCCGAAGCGCAGACTGTATATAAAACATAGCTTCTGGAAAGTGATGTCAGTGCATTCCATTATCAATATCAATTATCGATTCGATTCATTAGTGATTCTCTTACAGAGAATCTTATTGATTCCCGGTACTCCCAGGAACCGGTTCTCGACTCTGATCCCTAGTAAACATGGGGTCACCATTTATTCAGCATGGGGTTCTGTCAATTACAGTCCCAAATGGAGCACAAAATGAGGACAAAGCAGAAAAACCTTTAGGGTGGGCCCATTGTTTGACATGTGACTTCAGCCTGAGCATGCAGTGTCGCTTGGTTTGTCAGTCAGATCCAGATTTTCCCTGAAAAATTTTGAGTCCCATTATGAAGCTTGAGGTTTCATAACAGAGGACTCAACCAACCAATGGGTGACATCTAAGTATATTTATTGGTCATTTATACAGAGTATGTATGACCCCTAGCTCACCCTCATATGAACAAACCTATGATAAAGTAAGAGCTTATTTTAGTGGGCTCTAGCTTGCATAAGTGATGGTTTACTGCTGGACCTGAAGGCTTATTCTACCTGTGGCCCTGCTGAAGTGGATTTCAACCTGGCTGTCATCCTTGCCTTTCTGCCAGTTTCCAAACTGAACATTTCTCCAAGCAATGATTCAGACAATACTGAATGTTGGGTCTTCTTGGGACTCATTGCTCCTTTTTAGGTGTTGGTTCTTGCTTTAGATAAACTTGTCTTGCAAACCATGTTTAAAGACTGCTAGCAATGATAACTTGCATAGCTGAGTAAGATATCTCTCTAGAGAGATCTTCTTGTTGAGGCAAAGCAAGAAGATGTACTTCTACTCAATTAATTAAATTTTGAGACAAATAGTGTGACTAAATAAAGGTTTATTATTCTTTGAAAGATGTGATGTGTCACAGAGAGAATCAGGCAGGAAATTAACCAGGTACATTTGGTTTTAATGCATGTTTCTTGATCAGAAGGTAGAAGAAGAAGTTTTGAGTAGAATACCTTGTGGTGGGGGGTAGTCATCAGAATCTGTGTCGCTCTCACTGCTGTCCTCTACCAGGAAGCTGGGGTAGTTCCACGACATGCTGACAATACCGTCTGACTCATGCAGCAGTATATGGGCCAGCATGCGCCCATGGCAGTCCATCACTATCACCTGTCCATCTGCAGTACCAAACAACACCTGGCGCAAGTGCAAAAAAACAATATTAATGTGGACACTGACACAAGAACAAAGACTCACACTTGAAAGAGGAGAGAAAAATGAGACAACAGCAAGAAAGAAAAACAAGACAAATGCATATCACAGAGAAAAAAACTGCGAGAAATGGACATAAATGGGTTGATGGTGATAAACAAGGACAGTTACACATACACGGACTGAAAGTCTGCTGACATCCAACCTGTGCTGACAGTTTAACGGCATGAAAACAAAAATATAGCCTTACAAAGACAACAACACATTCAAGACAGTGGAAGCTTGCTGTCACTCACAGATTCAGCTCTCAGGGTTTCTGTCTACAAGTGGCAAATGGCAACCTAACATTTCTACTTCTACTTGCATTAGAAGACTGGAAAAGTGCCAGGTGAACATATCCTATGTTCAAAATCTGTATAGTGTGTTACCTGCTGATCATCTGGGGTCCAGATACCACAGGTAATGTGGCTTTCCAGGTTGATCTCAGAGGACCAGTGTCTTTGCCCACTGACAGAGCCCACCAGGACGAAGCCATCACGATAGGAGATAAGAGCCTGGGTCCCATCATGGGACCAGGTAAAGTCACTCACCTAGAAGGGACAGATAAGAAATGTTAGAGTTATTTAAAAAAGATACAATAAATAAATAGTATAAACCTCAGCTGTTGCACACAGAATCAGCAGCAGCTTATGATTCTGTAAATGATTTATATTTTTAATTTAAATCATTTTTTAGGAAGAATTCTAAAATATTCTGGTTCCAAATTTGAAGCTCTGCTTCTATTCAAATGCAATTGATCTAGAGACTAATTATGACAAAACAGTGTCCCTCAACTCAAATAATGTATATAAAAAAACCTTTAACCTCTCAGACAAAAGCAGAGCAGCGATGGCATTTTAAAAAGCACAGGCCATATAAAAGTGTGGCTATTGTTCAGATTGTCATCTCCAATAATAACTCAAGTACTCACAAAAGATGCTGTCAACATGTGTCAAGTCTTAGCTCAAGGGATGATGACAATGTTTGATCGATGTGGCCTACCTACCTATGTTTGCTTGGCAGGCTTAATTTTTAATTAATGTGCAGCATCAGTAAAAACACATAAAACCACTTGAGGTTTGATAAAAATGATTAAAAAAATAACAAATATACATTGATTAGCGTGTAATTACTTCTTCCAACAAACTCAATTTCATACATTTATAATAAATCCATTTAACACTAGTTTGTGAGCGGCCATGTTGCCCCACCATCTTCAATACAGTGGCCAAAATGGACATTGCTGTTCCACCTAATCACTTTTTATATATGTGGCCACCATTTAACATTTGGACATAAATATTTTTATATTCTCTTTCTCATCATCTCCACCACCACTGCTGCTCTTTCTCCCCCCCTCATTGTCACTTTAACCACTTCCTCCTCCCCTCCTCACACATAAGCATGCACAAATACGCTTATTTATTCTCAATATTGTCACATTTATTTTTTCTTAGCAGAATAGAAATGCAAGCCTCACATGTCCAGACAGCTGACCAACAACAATAACAACAACATCTGGTTATAACCTAATATTATGCCAGCTAATGTTACACTTGAGTGTCCTAACAATCACACTTTCGCTCTGATTATATACGCCCTCTGTCATTGCAGAAAGTTTGACTAACACTGACGAACACCAGCAAAAACAACAGCGCCAACAGAAAAGTTCAAGACATTCCTAACGACTCAACTCGGTATCGCAAAGTTTTACAGCCTCCTCCAGTGTAAACAGAAATGGGCACCAATAAATACCTGAGGTAACTATAGGTCACTATAGATGAACTGTGGCCAGAGTTGTTTGTCCTACAGCAGCCACCGTAGCTATAATTATGCATTTGAATTGGAGGGGGTTAAAAAAGACAACTCAGTCGAGTGTGATTTCAAATCTACTGACATCTAGTGGCGGGGTTTTACACACTGTAACGTTAAGTATTACAGGTTTATTGCAATGACATTATATTACTTTATATTATCACTGCTTGCTTTGCTTCCATTAACTCTATCATATAGTTTTACCCATTATTTACACAATAATTTCTTAAAATTTTTTAAAACTAGTTAAAAAGACCGATTTACATTTTGTCTACTTGTGTCTCTCACCTGAGCTCCTCGGTCATTGACGAGCTCCACAGACCAGCGGCCCTCATACTGGATCCAAACAAAAATGCCTCCATCTGTGTCACATGTGGCCAGTTTCTGGAAAGGCTCATTCCAACGCACCAATACCACCTGAAAGCAGAGGTGAGGTAAAAACACAAACAAACAATCAGATAAAATTATCAGAAAGACTGTTCAGTGTCCTTTGACAGTCATTATTTTACAAGACATAAGCAAATGTACTAATTCACTCATTCACTGACAGTGAATTTAGCCATGGCTCTGTGTCAACTTACCTACAGATAACATGAGAAAAACAACAAAGTGCCTTTAATTAAGACATTATACTATTAGAATCAGCTGAATGCCTAAAATCCAAGTTCCCACATTTCATTGAACTAAATTTAGCATCAAGAAAGATGGAAATAACTCAAAAAGTGGGTTAACCTCATTTTGAAAAAGTCACAAAGGAGCCGCTAGTATCCTGAATATTACAGACAGAGAGATTCAGTTATAATGTCACCTTATAACTGAATGGCACATTTCAAAATGGGACATTACAGCATTTTTGCGTTTATGGAAGAAAAGAGATGTATACAGGAAAATAATAAAGAGGAGTCTTACAGGTTGACACAAACATATGAGTCTCTCCGTTTGCCCTGAGTTTAGTACTGTAACGACTGATTGTAATTTGCTTGGGTATGAGCTGCAGGAGCACAGTATACAAAACACTCTTCATAACACGTTTCTGTCACCCATCTTAAAAGGTGCCCATCACACTCTCCATCCTGCCCCCTCCTCTCTTCGTGTCTCCATTTGTCTTCTTTTCTGTAGCGTGACTCAGCCTATTCCCCGGAGGAGTAATCCTAAGAAGGGAGCCGCTCTGCTCTCGCTAAGTGAAGCACGTGGGTCGTACACGTTCACACACGCAGCACCGAGCAGGGTTTTAGTGGTGCTCACGCTCTCTGACTGCAAGTCCAATAGATCAGCGGGTCTGAGTTGGATAAGCCAGTAATGCTGCCAACCCTTAAACAACACCTCCTTACCTCTGTGCAACACACTCACAGTTCCATCCATCAATGAAACAGATGCTATTAACTGTGCGTCCCCATTTTATATTCCATCAAGAAAAGAAACAATCAATCATACTTACACTTGCTTGAATACTTTATTATCTTCTTGCACTAATGCCATTAATGCTGACTTACAGGCTATTAATTAAGAACTTCTTTAAGAATTCATCTAACACAAATGATCATTAATCACAAAACTTTCCTCAAACAGTATCTTGCTATAGTCTATGGACTTTTCAAGCAGCATTTTAGGCATTGGAAAAAAAATAAAATATTAGGATGATCAGGCTTCAGGAAAAAAGATTATTGGAGCAACATCATGTAGTCAGGGCATATATTTAATGAGTGAGGCTCAGCAGCTCCAATTGTTTTGAAAAAAATATATATATTTTTTTACAAACCCAGGAAAAAAGATATAAAATGCACAAGGGAACATCACAATATTTATCAATTATTTCTTATTGAGCAATACCCCGTTTGTCACACTTATTAGTCTGGAAGTCAAATCAGTCAATTTATATGAATATACAAGGCATGGCCCTAAAGCTTAATGAGCAGATAGTAGTTTTTAATCAATGTCCTGTCCCTGCTATGCATCATTAAAGTGTCCTCTTAGCCAGATTTTGCATGTTCTAGTTTGTCCTTTTCCTCTGTGTCTTTGTAGCAATGACAGTCATCCTATTGCAGGTCTACAGCTGAAGGTCTCCAGATCATTCTGAGATGTCCGCATTCACAGACCATTAAAACTAGCCTGCCATCTATCATTCTGGCACAGCAATCATTCATGCAGCAGCATTCACTGGGTGCAAAACTAATAGGCTTCTGCACCAGTATTGTCAAAGATAACACATTACAAGGATCTCATTTGGGGGGGGGGGAAACAGATTTGTGGTGTTCCTCCATCTATGCACTGTCTGCAACCTCTAGTGATCAAAAGGGATTTTCCACGTGGTATTATACAACATAATTCAGTCCCAACTGGAGGAGACTTGTAGCTTTAGATTAGGCATGAGCTCTAGTTTGCATAAAGCTAACAGCATTCATGCAACTACAAAGCAGGGTCAAAGGAAAACATAAAAGGATAAATTAGCATTGGATTTACACATGCTGTGTCTCACGTGTGTTCCCACTCACAGCCCCACAGAGGTGAGAATAAACTGTTTGTCTGTAAATTTAGCTCAGTGTGGAGATTAGTGTGAGCTGGTGAGCCATCCTGCGAGGGGGGACAGCTGAGCACATCGTGTGATGCAGCGATCAGGGAGATCAGACATCACATAGAGACAGACAGGATAAGCGTTGGGAGCTGCAGGACCACGAGGAGCCTGAGGTGTCACAGGAAAGGCACACCAACATGTGCAAACACATACAGTTAAAAATACTTCTTTAATTACAGTGCATTATATGCTCAAACAGACAGTAATCAGCGCCAATAAGCTCAGAGAGATATTAAAGAACTTTGGAATGACATGTAAAAAAAAATATATATATATATATATCACTCAAAGGCTTTAGCATCATCATGTAGAGAACACCTACAAGTTTTTGTTTCAAAAATACATAATAGCTCTATATCTACTACAATCAGGGCTGTTTTTACACTCTTGCAGTATTCTAGGACCCCTAAATCAGAGACTCTCTGAAAGGCTGCTGATCCCATATTCAACTAAAAGCTCTGGGATTGAGTTTTAGTCTGATGAGACAGAAACAGATTTTTTTTTAAAGCTGTGACGCAGACACTTCTTGATTGGATCTTAATCACAACACCCCTTTAAAACATTCCAATCACATGGATATTTTTCCCCAAAGTAAACAAAGATATTAGCGTTGACTAGTTGTTAATTCAAGATGGGAAACAAATTAGTGTCCATGTCTGCAACTGACTTTTTGACATTGCTGTTCTTCCTTTGTACTAGTATTGTACTGCCCAACCTTCAGCCTCCTGTTGGCAACTGAACAAGCATACCCAGTGACCTCAAATCGCCATGCGATGTGCATTTTTAGGTGTGCATATTCCTTTGGTGACTTGTGCAAGGACAGCTGGAGACACCAATTAAGGATAGTTGTTAGACTACTCTCTTGTCTATTTGGAGGATACATGTGCAGTTTGGGCCCTTGTAGTACAGTGGCTTTGCAGGGAAGTCTGGACCAGCCTGTAGGATGCAGTGGAAGAGAAACTATGATTTTATTAGTTGGCCAGCTGGTTCAGGCAGAAGAGTTTATCCAATCTACAGAAAATTTTCATGTAAGCATGCAATGTGGAAACTGTTGTGCCAGATATATGTGAGATGGTTGCGTGAAAATTACATCCAAAGCATTTTGAGGGCTTAATATTGCACCAGAATTCTTCCTGTGCAGACATAGATGGTCCATTGTAGCTGATGGTCATCCCCTGCCTTTTAAGTACAGATATGCTTTTAGGAACAGGGAGCAGAACTGACCACAGCAACTTCGCTGAGAAGAGTAAATCAAACCAAGCAACAGCTTCAGGAGGCACTGGTGTCAGCACAACTGAGGGGACACTATGACAGCGAAATGACATAGTGGTGAAGGTGTGAGTGCAAGTCCATGACAATGCATGTCTGCTGCACAAATAACTTTGTCTCTGCAAAACGTTTGAGGAAAGGGAGAGCCTTAATAAATTACACTCAGTCATTATTTTACTTTTTTCATGCATCCAGGAAAAGAGCAGCATCCAGGTCTATGATTTTCCTCTTTTCCTTCCAGATGAAGAGTTGACTTATGGGTAACACAGAGCTCATCGAGGATGGAGAGAGTTCCCTTATTCGCAAATGGTCACGACAATCAAAAGCAGGTTCGGTTTCGTAGAGTTAACCCCTTTTCGGGTAGGGTCTCCCATGGCAAATTGGTCCTGGGTGCAGGATCAAGGGAACAGTTCACCCTGCCCGGAATAGGATTACCAGGGCCCCGTCCTGGAGACAGGCCCGGGGAGGGTGCCCGGGCCTGTGTCTGGTGGTCAGGCCTTAGTCCATGGGGCCCGGCCGGGCACAGCCCGAAAAAGGGACATGGGCCCATCCTCCTGCAGGCCCACCACCTCCAGGAGGCGCCAGGTACAATGTGTACCTGTGTAGGAGCGGAGTCCCTGATGGACCGATCCCCGCCCACCAAGACTAGCAAATCAGATATCAATATCAGTTAAAGAACAGCTCTGTGCTGTGTTGACACGAAGGCAAGAATTAGCAGGAGTGATTTGCAAATCCATCAAAAGAGGTAGAATCTGAGCTCATTATGTGCAAGTCAGGTGTGTAATAAAACCTTAATAAATAATAATAAGTTAATAGCATTTACAATTATTATTAATGTGTGCTGTAAAGACTCCTGAAAGTACCTTTAGGGAAACTGCATTGAATAATAGAAAATAAGTAATCTGAGTGATACCAGAGTCCCTCACACCACTGGTGTTCCTCAATCGGCAGAACAATAAAAGGGAAAATAGTGACCAAAACAGGCACAAAAGATATCCAGTTGCAGGCACCTCACGATAGGTTTGAACAAGTACTAAAAGGCTTTAATTTCCATGGGCCAGAGAGATTAAATGATACACCCACCCTCCTTCTTTGGGGGTGTTTCTACATTGTGTAGTTTTGAGGCCTTAAAGTCTGATAATCATGCATCTCATTTCATGCAGACAAATTTGGTAATAATGTTGAGTAAGATCAGACACTAAATAGGACTGGATTTAATGCAATAAATCCACAAATAACACAAACACAGACAAAGCAGAACATTTACAAAGGTGTAAAAGTCCAGTTTACTGGATTTTATTCTGTCCTGTTGGTGTATCTGCTAACGTGGTGAATGACTGAATGAGAGACAAGTCCCTAAGTGTGAGCCAGCGTCAATGCACTGCAAGCTGCAAACAATTAAAGCCAAAGAAAGTTGAACTGAATATTTATGCTTAAATATTCACATTTTTAAAGTGATCATACCTTATAAAACAAAGGCTATATTTTAAGTGTTATTCTTCATTTATTTGACAAGGATCAAAATGAATCCCCGAAAACAGAACAAAATACTACTGTGATTCAAGTTTTTGTGGGG